TACCAGTAAAATGTATACAAATTTGGGACTGAAAATTATTCAGACTGAGTCTGGGAAAAACATTGGAGTTCAGGTTTGCATGAACCTGGTTGACAGCATGCCCAGGAGACTACAGGCTGTCATTAAGGCTAAGGGTTGTCCAACAAAGTATTGATAGTTGTGTAAATATTGACAGCTGTATGAATAATTTTTGGTTTATTGTAATCCATTACATACCTTTCTATCAAAGTTATCTGACATTATCAAGCTGAATTTGTTCTGACACAGTGTAACTCTGAGTTCTTGTCATATTTTATTACCATTTTCTAAACTATAGCGAATAAACTGTGATAATGTGAGAAAGGTTGAAGGTGTCTGAATACATTTTGGTTTGACTGTATCTATTTGATAAATGAAGTTAACCAACTAACATTATACATACTCTTTTGGTTTCTGTATCCAATGTTTAAAAAATTTACAAATGCAATGAAAATATTGGTATCGGTACTCGGTATCGGCAAGTACCAAAAATAAAAGTATCGTATCGGGCGAGTACTGGAAAAAGTGTATCGGTGCATCCCTACTTTTTAGCAGATGTATGAGATTCCCTCAAATACATTTTTCTTAATCATAAGTGTTTTTCAGTAAATGCTATTAACCTGTGGCATTTTGTGTTACCAGCTCAGATCTTTGACCACACAAAATACCCACACATCAGATAAACTACCATTTAAAGGTTTGCGTAAAATGTCTTAATGTTTTTGAAAAAAGCAGCCATTGCTCCATTCTTCAGTGTCACATGATCTTTCAGAAATCATTCTAATATGCTGATTTGCTAATTTTTATTATGATCATTGTTAAAAACAGTTGTGCTGTTTTACATATTTGTGGTTTGATGAACTTTTGATGAATAAAAAGTTTAAAAGCACAGCATTTATTTGATATAGAAATCTTTTGTATAATGTCTTTACTGTCACTTTTGATCAATTTATTGCATCCTTGCTGAATAAAAGTATTCATTTCAATCTTACTGACACCAAACTTTTGAACAGCAGTGTACTTGGTAGACTAAGAGGTCCTGACAACTAAGGTTTTGATTATATAATTCATCCAATAATTTAACAATGTAATAGCATTGTGAATTTGGTGTGTTTGTAGTATGTACTTGTGTGGCAGACAGAGAGAAAGAGAGCGGAAGACAGAGAAATCTGTGTGAATGAATCCACAGGATGTGTGTCTGTGAGATCAGACAAGTCCAGTGTGTGTGCACAGTACTGAGGCAGATGCAGTCAGCTGATAAAGCACTATTAATGGTGGTGCCCTGTTATGGAAACACAAAATCGGGTGACCTTCACCCCTGGTGTCTATTACTTAAGCTAAATACACACCCACACAGACACATTTAACGTTTCTTTAAAATGTTCATCAAAGCCTAGCTGAGGCCATTAATTATTTGTGAACGGGAATTGACAAAACACATTGTGAAACTTATTTAGAAATCCCTGGAGGAACCATGACTCAGCGGGGAAGCCCTGCTCCCATGGGCTAACACATATTTATACATAAACATATGCAATCATAAATGCATATATACAAAAAAAGTAATTTTGAACAGATTAGTATATCATCGATGGTAAAGTACTATGTTATATCCAACTGATACCATCATTGTACTACGGTTTTTGTTTTGTTTTGTTGTTCTCAGAATGTTTAGGTTGATTTATGTTTAAATATGTATCTGTGATCAAGACTGTGTTTACAGTGTAGTCAAGCAGACACAGTCAGGAGTTTGAACTTAGACATGCTCTACATATCTCTACAGAACACCACACGCACTGATTACATAACACAGTCCTTTATGACCCTCAGCACTCGCTTCTACAGCACAAGCGGTTATTATTCACTGAGAGATGGTGAATGGTTGTGGATAGATCTGCAAATGTGTTAGTCTGTGTTTTGTTATTTTATTTGCCTTAACTCTGACCCATTTCCACATATTCTTGCAAACATTCCTATTCCCACATACACACACCAGCAGAAACACAGACACTGGGATGTCGACTTTGACCCCTGGAGACTGTAGGTTTATTTGCACATATACTTTAGTGTGTCTTAGTTTAGTAAAGAGACTTAAGGCCCATTCACATTAAGCATGATAACTATAACAATAAAGATATCGTTTTAAAAATGGTTCTGAGAATAGCAGAGTCCACATCACAACTAGAGGAACGATATCATTGGAATCGCTTTCATAATGTTTTCAAAAACATGGGAATGGGCAAATATGGGCAATCCTATTGCAATGCTAACATTACCATACATGGAAAAAATCAAATATTTCCAAAGGAAGTAAACATGTTATAATGGTCCACTTTGGTAATTGTATGTTTTCAGGAAATTCCTTTGTTTAATCATCACACATGAGGTGTTTGCCAATAATAAAACAACTTTTTCGAGAAAGTACCTCTAGATTTTCACTTTATTTGTCAATAAGTATTTTCTAGAAAGATTATAACTTTAGAAAATATCTTAGAAATGTTGTCTGAGAAACATTGGCTGTCATATTATATCTATAAACATGCACATGAGCACCATGTAAATGCATAACTGTGATCAAATCTGCTAGACCAAGTCTGTTTACATTTCAACAACAATGCGGTGCTCCATTAGTCATTCTTGTGTATGCTGGTCTCACATGATGAGCTTGTGAGTGCAGCTGTGAAATATGACATGCTCGGACATCTCGCTATTATATGACCAGCGCTGGTTATTGAGTCAGACGAGATGCTTTAATGACTTGCACAACACCTTATGTGCTCACACATTCACTGGAAGAGCACACATGCATTAATACACACACAATCTAACAATCATTAATATATTTGGCTGCTCGCTCACTCACTGTTTCTTTATGAAGTTTGTTCATGCCTCTGGGAAAATGGTCTTACCACGGTTTTCATTTAACGAAAGACTGATTATGATTATTTGTTGCATTTCACAGTTTTTATTCCAAAAACAGTGATTCACTGTCCACTCTGTGTAGGATGATTAGTGTCCAGGGTTTGCCAATTTCCTGCCTATTACATGATTTCTTCGGATGTATTCTCTTAAAATAAACCGATTTCTTTCTCTTTGTGTGTTTAGATCAGATGTGGTAGTGCTGTGCTTCTCTTTGGCCAATCCGAACTCCCTGCGCCATGTTCGTACCATGTGGTTCCCTGAGATCAAGCACTTCTGCCCCCGCACCCCGATCATCCTGGTGGGCTGCCAGCTGGACCTGCGCTATGCTGATCTGGACGCTGTTAACAGGGCTCGCCGGCCTCTGGCCAAGTACGGACCACATCCTACACCCACTCGTAGCACATATTCTGTTATTAAACTTCAGCATGAAAAGTTTTCAGGGGCTTCCGTTTTGCGAGGGTTATTGTATTGTTATTGTGCTTTTACGTTTGTAGTCAGTTCTGCAAATGTAATTTATTTTAGCTGTTAGAAATTTTCTGTGTTTATTGTTAATAATGGATTTGAGGACATAGTAATTCATTTAGGTTTATATGTGAACAAACATTTTTATTTTGAAGTGAAAAGTTCAAGATAGACCCTCTGAATTGGGACAAAAGTCTCCCAGCGGCATGTTGCTGCTGCTGTTTGTATAGTTTGTTAAATAATTATTGAAATTCATGGCAGTATTTGTAATTAGTTATTCTTTCTGTTTTAAACATCTTTGCTATTCCTCATAACTTAGGCCGATCTAAATTCATAGTCTGTTGCTATTATGGCATCCCTTTAATTAAAAATATTGGCCCTAATATCATTCAACATATATCTATAAATCAGTTTTGTAATAGTTTAGATTGACAAAATGGATACATTTACATAGAATAGAAATCTGATTATGTATTATAAATAACTTTTTTTAAAATCTAGAAAATGAAAAAGAATCAGATATATTTTACACCATCGTTCAAGTTTAGGGTCAGTAAGAATGATTTTTTTTGATACTTTTAAAATATGAATACTTTTATTCAGCAAGGATGCATTAAATCAAAACTGATTAAATGAACTGATCTGTGTCTGAAAAGTAACAGTAAAGACTTTTATAATGTTACAAAAGATTTCTATCTACAATAAATAAACTTTCAAAAAATCCTAAAACAATGTATTACAGTTTCAACAAATATATTAAGCAGAAAAACTTTTTTTTTTTT